TTTTATTTATTTTTGAGACAGAGAGAGACAGAGCATGAACGGGGGAGGGGCAGAGAGAGAGGGAGACACAGAATCGGAAACAGGCTCCAGGCTCTGAGCCATCAGCCCAGAGCCCGACGCGGGGCTCAAACTCACGGACCGCGAGATCGTGACCTGAGCTGAAGTTGGACGTTTAACTGACTGAGCCACCCAGGCGCCCCTTGAGACACCCAGGCTTTTAAAAGACCATGTCTCCATGGTACTGGGGGTTAGGACTTGGCCATAAGAATTTTCTTGGGTGTGGGGAGCTTGGAGGGGAGACACAGTTAAGCCCATAAACGGTGACAAACAGTACATCGTAGGTAAATGCCTTTCCTTTTGCCTTGATATGTGTTGAACTGTTAAGAGTAGGATTGAAAGCGTGTTCAAGTGGGTGTTATGATACATGTTACTTCACATTGGCTCATTTCCTTTTAGATGATGAAAGTAATTTTGCCGGCTTGCCCTGGTTTCCGTTTTGCCGTTTCAGTAGATCCTCCCGTTGCTAATTCAGATTTTCACTCAGCTTCTCTGTTGGTGTTAGGCTATTTGCCACCAACATTCGCAGTCTTTTCATCGTGGTTTTCCCTCGGCTTCTGCCAATATTGTGTTGTTATTCTCTACTTTTTAAGCCTGTTAATCTGATCAAAAATAAATAGATGCCACGGCTGCTTTAATTTGTATTTTTTACGTTGTTTTATTGGTCTTTTTTTAAATTGGAGTGTAGTGACACAATGTTACGTTGGTAACAAGCGTACAACATATTAAATTGACAAGTGCTATCATCTGTCACCACAAGTGTTCCCTACGCTGTATCTTTTATCCTTGAGACTCATTGGTTCCATAGCTGGAAGCCTGTACTCCCCACTCCCCACCTTTGCCGATCTCCCCATCCTCCTCCCCTTCGGCAACCACTGGTTCTCTGTGTTTATGGGTCTGTTTCTGCTTTGCTTGTTCATTCGTTTTGTTTTTTAGATTTCAGATACAGGTGAAATCATACAGTATTTGTCTCTGACTTATTTCACTTAGCACAAGACCCTCCCGGTCTATACACGGTATATGCACACCCGTATGTCTAACATTTATACGCACCCCACATCTTCTTTATCCGTTCCCCTGTTGATAGATACTTAGGTTGCTTCCATATCTTGGCTGGTGTAAATAATGCTGCAGTAAACATAGGTTACCTCTTAAAAGACTGTGTCTCCAAATACAGGCACACTCTGAGGTACTGGGGGTTAGGACTTCGACAAGTCCTAACCTTTTCAAGGCACTGTTTCCATTTTCTTTGGGTAAATATCCAGTAGCGGAAATACTGGATTGTGTGGTATTTCTATTTTTAATTTTTAGGGGACCTTCATGCTGTTTTCCACAGTGGCTGCACCCATTTACATTTCCACCCACAGTGCGTGAAGGTCCTTTGGTCTCCACATCCTTGCCAACACTTGTTACTGTCTTTTTGTTTTTTTGTTTTGTCTTTTTATATGAAAGTTATTGTCAAATTGGTTTCCATACAACACCCAGTGTTCATCCCAACAGGTGCCCTCCTCAATGCCCATCGCCCACCCTCCCCTCCCCCCCCCATCAACCCTCAGTTTATTCTCAGTTTTTAAGAGTCTCTTATGGTTTGGCTCCCTCCCTCTCTAACTTTTT